AGCAGCATGCAATTCAGAGGGAAATTTCTGTTCCAGTGTGGGTTTCGTAAAACAACGGAGGGAAAAGCCAATGCAGAATCAGCCTAAGTGGCGGTCTTCCTAGTACTAGATATGTACAACTGGCTGATCTGACCACCGTAACAGGAATGCAATGGATATGATGGAGAATATATTTGACAGGCAGATTCTCTTTTTGCAGTTTGTATCTCAGAGGCACTTGTGTAGCTACAGAGGCCTTTTTAACATTCCTGTTCCACACGTAAATGGCACACGTTTAACTCCGCTTTTCTAGCAATCTCTTTATTAAGTGTATTCATTACATATATATCTGCGTGTGTATATTTTTATACATATGTGTGGGGTTTTTTTCCTCATACAAAAGATTTCCTTTCATGGAAAGGAGGCACACAGAATGACTGCAACAGGTATCTTATGGCCGAACAAGTATTGACAGCTGGTTTTCATATCGTCAGTAGATTAAAAGAGGTTTTCTTTTCACCTCCATACCACTGCTAAGCTAAACATAAAATTAAAATATAACTTCAGGATTAAAACTTAAAATATATCAGAATTCTTAAGTTCATGTGAGTGAAATGAGGTTGCATAACTGCCATCAGAGTAGCAGAAGCATTTTCATTAAAACAAGCTGAACAGTTTCCAGGGCTGGCTCTCTCATATTACCCTGGATATCATCCAACAAAGTTCAGCATTTTTAAGTACCACTAATGTCAGTGTAAAAGAGTTAGGCATGTCAAAGTGCTTAACTTTCGGCAGAAACACATTTGTGCCCATGATTGTCTGTAAGAACTATCCTTCACACTAGGAACAATTTGGGTACCCCCCCCCCAATCATCTCTGTTTTCAGGAATCAAGATAAGGTAATGTAAGGCTGCAGGTTTTTCATTCTTACTAACTATAAATAAATAAGAAGATATGAATAGAAATGCAGAATTCAATACAATATATAACAGGCTTCAACAACAAGCAACATATAAAGAAACTAATTAAACATATAAAAGTAACCCAAATATGAATAATAGTGGCTGGCATAATATCTGGAGCGCAGTACAGTAGTCTCAGTAAATAGGACTACAAATTTCATATCATTTAGAGAATTAAAAGTTGGTTTGGTAGATAGGCTGGAGGAAGTTGATAGATGGTACAATCCATTGGGAAATTCCTTTGGCAAGCTCCATAGAACAGCTTCCATTCACTGCTACAAGGTTTATGCAAGAGAACTTCTATGGATGTCACCAGGGGTCATTTCGTAGAAAAAGAGCTAGGGGAACTCATTAGCATAACTCATTAGCATATGCCACACCTCCTGACATCACCGGAAGTGTGTCATAAGGCCACACCCCCTGACATCACCGGAAATGTGCCATAAGGCCACACACCCCACCCCCAATGGTCCCGGCCGCCACCGCCGGCCTTGCAGCTCCACTGCCGAGCCTCATTAGGGGCCCGGCTGTGGACCTGAAAGGCCGGCGGGAGTGCAAGGAAGCCCCGCGAAGGCCCTCCCTGGCCCCAGGCAGGCAGGGGTGGGGAGAGGCAGGGAGGAAGCAACTTACCCTCCCTCTTCTCCTGCCTCCTCCTGGCTGAATGAGGGCCGGAAGCAGGGCGCCGGAAGCAGGGGGCGGGGCTTCGTCATGTGCCCCGCCCCCCGTACCTCACCCGGGGGAACTGCGATCCCCCCCGAAATGACCTCTGCCTGGCTCCACCCCCAAAGTCTCCAGGTATTTCCCAACCCTAATATGAGGCTGGGCAGTTGGCAATCCGAGGAAGGGCTTTCTCGGTCGTGGCACAAAGCAGCCATTTTTCTCCAGGTGAACTGAGCTCTGTCACCTGGAAATCTCCTACTCTCTCCAGCCACCACCTGGAGGTTGGCAACCCTTCCTGCAGGGACCAATCCGGGGTCCGCTCTTTCAGGAAGCCATTAAAGCTGCCCGGATTCCTACTCCGCTGATGACAATTCCCACTTGGTCATGTCCCCGTCCACAGACTTCTCTACCGTCCGCAGACATGCCGGTAGCTGGGCTGAGAGAAAGAACCCAGAAGACAACTGCTGGGAAGGTGAGGTTGGGTTTTGTTTTTGCCTTTCCTACACTGGTAATCTACTAAGGAGCCATTATATACCTGGACTTTCAAAAGGCTTTTGTCATGGTACCTCACCAAAGACTCCTGAGTAAACGTAGCAGTCATGGAATAAGAGGACGGGTTCTCTTATGGATTAAAAACTGGCTAAATGACAGGAAGCAAAGAGCAGGAATCAATGGACAGTTCTCACAATGGAGAGGAATACGCAGTGGGGTCCCACAAGGATTGGTACTTTATTTATCAATGATCCGGAACGAAGGGTGAGTAGTGTAGTGGCCAAGTTTGCAGATGACACCAAATTATTCAGGATGGTGAAATGCTCCAGGAGGACCTCCACAATCAAAGTTGGGAGACAATGCGGCAAATGAAGTTCCATGATGGGAAGTGTAATGTGATGCACACTGGGACAAAAAAATCCCAACTTCAAGTATAGGCCAATGGGTTCTGCACTTGTTGAGACTGAGAGGGGAAAAGATCTTGGGGTCGTAGTGGATAACTCAATGGAAGTGTCAACCTAGTGTGCTGCAGTGGTTAAATAGGCAAACTCCGTGTTAGGGATTATTAGGAAAAAGATTGAGAATAAAACAGCCACTATTGTAATGCCCCTTTATAGATCTATGATGCAGCCTCATTTGGAATACTGTGTACACTTCTGGTTGCCATATCTCAAAAAGGACATGGCAGAGCTGGGAAAAGTACACAGGAGGGCAACCAAGATGATTAAGGGGTTGGAGCACCTTCCCTATGAGAAAAGTCAGAAAAGTCTGGGACCTTTCAGTTGAGAAAAGAGCAGACTTGGGGGGGAGGGACGACACACATGATAGAGGTTTAGAAAATTATGCATAGGGTGGAGAGAGTTGACAAAGAGAACTTTTTCTCCCTCTCCCAAAATACTAGAACTCGAGGGCATCCAATGAAGCTGATGGGCAGTAGGTTCAGGTCAGACAAAAGTTAATACTACTTTACACAGACAGTGATTAAGACGTGGAATTTGTTGCCATAGGATGTAGTGATGGCCACAGGAATAACAGCTTTAAAAGAGGATTAGACAGATTCATAGAGGATAAGAGCCAGTTCGGTGTAGTGGTTAGGAGCGCGGACTCTAATCTGGGAGAACTGGGTTTGATTCCCCACTCCTCCACATGCAGCTGCTGGTATGAACTTGGGTCAGTTACAAGTTCTTTCAGAGCTGTTCTCTCACCAGCAGTTCTTGAAAGGGCACACACAGTCCCACCTACCTCACAGGGTGTCTGTTGTGGGGAGGAAAAGGGAAAGAAGATTGTAAGCCGCTCTGGGACACCTTCAGGTAGTGAAGGGTGGGGTATAAATCCAATCTCCTCTTCTTCTTCTTCTATCAATGGCTACTAGCCATGGTGACTGAGGGGAACCTCCACATTCAGAGGCACTAATCCTCTGAATCCCAGAGCCAGGAGGCAACATCAGGGGAAGGTCTCATCCTCTATGGCCTGTTGTTGGCTGGCCAGTAGAGCTAGTTGGCCACTGTGTGAGACAGAATGCTGGACTAGATGGACTACTGGTCTGATCCCACAGGGCTCTTCTTATGTTAAAACAAATCAGATAGGAAACATATGACATGGCTGCTTTGCAAAAAATCAAGACAAATTAAGAAAATAAGTGTTAAGCTAAAAGTCAAGACAATGTAGTTAAGCAATAAAGCAAAGCTCCACTAGCTAATATTTCAGAATCAGGATTAGTCAAAGTTCAAGGTTCTATCATCATCAATACATCTAAATCTGAACCCAATCCTTGTGCAGATTGATAGAGCCTTGAGACTGGCGAGTGGGTGGGGATGGTGAAAGCTGTACCTCCCCCAAATGAGACGGCGGGCAGAGAGGAGCAGGAGCCACTCCCCCCCCCCACTTCAGTGTCGGGAGCTGGGCTGGGGGCAGAGTGGGCTGTGCCATCATAGCGTGGAGTAAGTAAGGCAAGGGCACCAACTCAAGTAGCATAGTCAAGATCCGGTCCAAGGTCAAAGCACAGAGTCAAGAGCTGTCAGTAGTCTGGTCCAAGGGTCAGTCTATACAGCAAGGTCTGGAAGTCCAAGAGTTATCCAGAGGCAGGTTCAAGGGCAAGACAAAGGCAGAGTCAGGGAATGGCCCGAAGAGTCACAGAAACAAGGCAGGATCTGATGCAGTGGTCTCAGTTTCAGAGGGATTTTGACTTGTTGCTTCCATGTCTAACAGCCTCCCTTGGCTTGTTTTTATAGCTATATACTGAAGAAGTCGAGTTTGCAGCCAGCTGCTTGGGACTAATCTGCAGCTCCTCATCTTTGCTGGCATCAGGTCATGAGGCATCGGGCCAGGAAATGTGCACTTTGTTGTCTCTCCTGTAGCTCTATTCTTAGCCTCCACCTATGGCACTCTCAGGGTGTGGGTGACACTAGAGGGCTAGACACGACCAACTAATATTTCGACCTGAGGAACTTATTGATCAAAGGGCACATTAAATTACTTAATGATCTACAAGATCAAGACATAAAACTCTTGGCCCTGAATTTTTTAAATTGAAATTTTGGGTTAATTTAGATCATCAATAAATCATTTGTGGGCTTTTCTAGTTCTCACTCTCTGCCACTGCTCCTCTTCTCTTTCTCTGCCAGAAATGGCTGCATAGGCACATTTTAGTCAGGACATTTGGCCCCTTCCAACTCTATTAGTTGGTGACAAGAGTTAAGTTTCTTTTGACAAAAGAAAGCTGCATATTACATAAGGCAGATTCGATGTTCTATCAGGACAATGGCAGTGGAGTGATAGAACTACTGCCTCGTAGGCAACTGATGAGGGTACATTTGAGGAAAACCAGCCCCATACATACTGAGTGGCCAATACTTTGGACCACAGTTGGAGAATTCCAGGCAAATATTTCTGGGTCCCCTACTGGCTTATCTGGTATTTAATTGTTTTGCCCACCAGCCTTTTTAGTTTGAAAAGTGTTTCTGCCAGTAGTCCAGGATTCCTCAGATGTTGACTGGGAGACCTACTGATGGTATATTTTAACTATTAATTTGCACTTTAATTAAGACTGCCGGACAAAACAATGGAAAGCTGGAGAGTTTGTTTGTATCACTTGGAACAATAATGAAGGGCAAACATCCCAGATGATGAGGTATATATAACAGTTTCCATTTCCCACAAGTTTCATAACAAGAGTCATTTTTTATGTGTGTGTATTTTCCTCTCCAAGATAGTCCAAGAGCTCTTCGAATGTGATTACACCACAAATTCCTCTGGAAGTGGATCTTCTCCCAAGAGATCCAGAGACAGACAGTTCATGGACCTCTTTCCATAGAGGGCCGACTTGGTTTTGCAGTCAGCCGTTGAATACACGCATCCGTAGTTGGCCAGTTTATCCTCTAAGGTACAACCAAATGTGTAGCTGTGGGAGGTATCTGAAGACAATGTGGCACTTAACGGTGGATGAAGATGCTTGTGAAGACGGATGTCATCTAAACTTTGGCTGTGCTGGTCTGGACACTTCATAGCTTTGGACTGTGCCACCTGCTAGTTTAAGATGGACATATATTAAAAAACAACAACAAGTAACAAACAAGTTAAACTAAGTAAAAAAAGATCATGCACATGTGATCTCCCGGTGCATCTCTCAATCTTGTCTCAAATTGTTAAGACTCCTCTCTTCCTCTTTAAGGAAATTGCCTTAATGAAGAAGCTGTGAACCATTATGGAATTGTGAAGTCATTCATTTATTAATTCCTGGATTTGGAGCTGAGTACAAGGTGTCCCCCACTGGCACGGACAATGAACTGTTGGAAATGAATCATTTCACTGAAATGACAGTGCTTCTCTAGGCAGCAAAAGGAAGGGGGGGAGCAGCATTTCACGGCTACCCTTAAAGAAAGATGCTTAATCATCATAAACACAAGGTTAGCTCCTGTGCTTCTGTCTGCATCACAGCACATTTTAAAATGTTTATTATTGCCAAATGGTGACTTCAGCCCCATGCAGCAAGATCCAGTATCTGCCATACTGTCAGGGTAATCTTACCCCATGACAGCCCATGAAAAGAAAGATTAGCCACATGGAAATATCATGGCAGGCTAACTTCAAAACCCAGGGAAAAACCTCTGTTATTGACAGACTTGTATCTCTTAATGTTGTACTGACTAGGAAAATAAGTGGATTGATGAAGAAGCATTCAGTTTTCAGACTTAATGTTGTACTGACTAGGAAAATAAGAAGTGGACTCATGAAGAAGCATTCAGTTTTCAAAAGTGGCCAGCCAGAGGCCATCATGTCTTGCTTGTACGAGGCATGAGCTCTACTCCTTTTGCTTGTCCTCAGCACATTGCTTTTCAGCATAGCAGTTCTGTTTGGCTACAACAGTGAATAACTGTTAATAGGCATGCTTACGGGAAAAAGGTCCTAATGAATCTAATTCCTGTTAAGCATAGCTTTTACATCCCACTTTATGAATATATCAATATAATTATGTTTTCCTACAGGTCAGTACCCAACAGAATCCCCTATTTCTATTACTTGAGGATTACCCAAACACAGTGTAGGCCTTTATCATGCAGTTCTATCTGAACAGGACCCCTGTTTAGCTGAGCTCAACTACTCAGCTGTTCTGCAAAGATCTGAAGCATTTCAGACAAAAGATGTTGAGGGGCACAGAATATTAAGTCATGTGCTTAAAGTCAGGGAAGCTGGTGGTAATTCTAAAGCACTCTGCATTAGGTAAAGCTGAGCTAACACAAAGGAGAGTGGATAGCCAATGTAATACTTTTAAGGATTATTGTCCACAAAACAATTGCAATGTGACAGTCACAGATGTGATACAGTCTACTGACTGAGCAGAAATGCTCTCACAAGCAGCAAAAGCAACATCGCCCAAGACAATATGCTTCTCTGAACTATGCCCATATCAGTGCAAGGCTATGTTTGAAAAAAGTCCAGGTGGACTGAATATTGTTGAAGTTATCCCCAAGTAAGCATCATAATCTTGGTACTTCAAGCACATGCCTCATACACACACCCTCTGAAAAAAAGAGGCTGGCTGGATTGTACCCAACAGTTTATCAGAATCAGTCTTTCATGGATACCCTTCTTTGGAAGTATAAACTACACCTTGTTGCTCTTCACAGATTATTAACACATCAAATGAATCAATCCTAACTTGACTTTTTTTGTAGCTGGCAACAGAGTGAGTTAATCTTATTTTCAGATCTCTGCTGTGGGGAGATGAAATTTTAGAAATGTTCTTAGCTGAGCAATTTGTGCTGGAACCACAAACCCAAAAATAAACAACCTTGCTGTAGTCCATGGTCTCTTCTTATGATGGCAACCACATTTTGGAGTATAATAACATTAACATTAAAATGTGGAGATGAAAATGTTTTTATAGTCCAGAATATTATTGCTTAAAACGCAGCATAAGATTCTACTTCTAGAAACTCAATCCAAGAGCTAACCCTAACCCTATGCCTTCTTTGTTTTGGGTTGCATCCAGCTTCAAGTGATTCATGTTACGTTTTATGCTTAGAAATTGATGTTTCACAAGACAAAATCCCAGAGCCTTAAACCCAGAATTCCTCTTCTGTGTTTGGCACCACTGATTATATTGTATTTACTCGCTTCGCTATCATAGGGGGTGCACGAGAAGAGAATTTGGTGCTCAGCCTTTCTCTTACCTGATGAAGGGAATCCACACTTTGTCCTCTGACCTTTATTAAGGTGACCTGCACTACTGAAAGAGGGTTCCTATTAAAGGCTGTGGGAACAAAAAGAGAAGTCATCAGAACTATATGAGCAAACTTAAAACAAAAATGTGGATTGAAGCTTGCAGAAATGGTATGTGCAAAAAATGAACTGCAGCAGTTGTGCGTTACAACTACTAGAAATTGGCATCAGGTTGAAATTATAAGTTTGGTGGAGAAAGTCAGCAAGGGTTATTATTCATGAAGGTGCTTTGCTTGCAGAGAGGCATATCAATAGTAGAGGGTGTATGAAAAACTCACAGTTCTTCTCTGTGGCTCCCAATCCAGATCACTGCCTGTCTTTTGTAGCTGGCAACAGAGTGTTCTGAAATTGCCTGTCTTTTGTAGCTGGCAACAGAGTGACTTTGTTCTGAAACGCTTTCAAATTACAATACTCTAGATGCCCTCTCACATTCCTCTCACGCCATTTCCCTGTTCTGCTCCACCCAACAAATTTGGCCAAAAGGTTCTATTGGGATATCAGATACAAATTGAGTTACTCTAAGATGCATAATTTCACCAATTTTAGCTAGAGAATTGTTGTTGTTGTTCAGTCGCACAGTTGAGTCCGACTCTTTGTGACCCCATGGACCACATCACGCCAGGCCCTCCTGTCTTAATTTCATGTTCATTGCCTCGATAACATTGTCTAACCATCTCATCCTTTGCCATTCCCTTCTTCTTTGACCTTCAATCTTTCCCAGCATCAGGGTCTTCTCCAGTGAGTGCTCCCTTCTCATTTGGTGGCCAAAGTATTTGAGCTTCAGGTTCAGTATCTGGCCTCCCAGGGAACAGTCAGGGTTGATTTCTTTTAGGTTTGACTGATTTGATCTCCTTGCAGTCCAAGGGACTCTCAAGAGTCTTCTCCAGCACCATAATCCAAAAGAATCTATTCTTCGGCGCTCGGCCCTCCTTACAGTCCAACTCTCGCAGCCATACAGTACTACTTGGAATACCATTGCTTTGACCATACAGACTTTTGTTGGCAGGGTGATATCTCTACTTTATAAAATGCTGTCTAGGTTTGCCATCGCTTTCCTCCCAAGGAGCAGGCGTCTTTTAATTTCATGGCTGCAGTCACTGTCTGCAGTGATCTTGGATCCCAGGAACGTGAAGTCTGTCACTGCTTCCACGACTTCTCCTTCTATTTGCGAAGGAGTGATGGGGCCAGATGCCATGATCTTAGTTTTTTTGATGTTGAGTTTCAAGCCAACCTTTGCACTCTCCTCTTTTACTAGCTTTGTTGTTAGTAATGCTTTCTAAGGCCCATTTAACTTCACATTCCAGGATGTCTGGCTCGAGGTCAGTGATTATACCGTCGTGGTTGTCAAGGACATCGAGGTCTTTCTTGTATAGTTCTTCTGTGTATTCTTGCCATCTTTTCCTAATCTCTTCTGCTTCTGTTAGGTCCCTACCGTTTTTGTCCTTTATCATGGCCAGCTTTGCATGGAACGCTCCCTTGATTTCTCCAATTTTCTTGAAGAGATCTCTAGTCCTTCCCATTCTATTGTTTTCTTCTATTACTTTGCACTGTTCATTCAGGAAGGCCTCCTTATCTCTCCTTGCTGTTCTCTGGAAATCTGCGTTCAGTTGGGTAAATCTTTCCTTTTCGCCTTTGCCTTTCGCTTTCCTTCTTTCCTCTGCTATTTGTAAAGCCTCATCAGAAAGCCATTTTGCTTTCTTGCATTTCTTTTTCTTTGGTATGGTGGTGATTGCTGCCTCCTGTACGATGTCACGAACCTCTGTCCATAGTTCTTCAGGCACTCTATCTATCAAATCCAGACCCTTGAATCTATTCTTCACCTCTACTGTATATTCATCAGGGATGCGATCTAGGTCAAACCTGAATGGCCTCGTGGTTTTCCCAATTTTCTTCAGTTTAAGTCTGAATTTTGCAATGAGTAGCTCATGATCTGAACCACAGTCAGCTCCAGGTCTTGTTTTTACTGACTGGATAGAGCTTCTCCATCTTTGACTGCAAATTATATAGTCAATCTGATTTCGGTGTTGCCCATCTGGTGATGTCCATGTGTAGAGTCGTCTCTTAGGTTGTTGGAAAAGGGTGTTCGCTATGACCAGTGTGTTCTCTTGACAAAACTCTGTTAACCTTTGCCCTGCTTCATTTTGCTTTCCAAGGCCAAACTTGTCTGTTATTCCAGTTACCTTTTGACTTCCTACTTTAGCATTCCAGTCCCCTATGATGATGAGGACATCATTTTTTGGTGTTAGTTCTATGAGGTGTTGTAGGTCTTCATAGAACCGGTCCACTTCAGCCTCTTCTGCATCAGTGGTTGGGGCATAGACTTGGATTACTGTGATGTTGAATGGTTTGCCTTGGAATCGGACAGAAATCATTCTGTCATTTTTGAGATTGTATCCCAGTACTGCCTTTTGCACTCTCTTGTTGACTATAAAGGCCACACCATTTTTTCTACGAGATTCCTGGCCACAGTAGTAGATATAATGGTCTTCTGAGTTAAATTCGCCCATTCCTGTCCACTTTAGTTCACTGATTCCTAGGATATCGATGTTCAGTCTTGCCATCTCATTTTTGACCACGTCAAGCTTACCTTGATTCATAGATCTTACATTCCAGGTTCCTATGCAGTATCGTTCTTTGCAGCATCGGACTTTCCTTTCACCATCAGACACATCCACAGCTGAGCGTTCTTTCAGCTTTGGCCCAGCCGCTTCACTCTTTCTGGGGTTACTTGTACTTGCCCTCTGCTCTTTCCCAGTAGCATACTGGACACCATCAGACCCGAGGGGCTCATCTTCCCGCGTCCTATCTTTTAGCCTTTTGTTACTGTCCATGGGGTTTTCTTGGCAAAGATACTGGAGTGGGTTGCCATTTCCTTCTCCAGTGGATCATGTTTTGTTTGAGTTCTCTGCTGTGGCCTGTCTGTCCTGGGTGACCCTCCACAGCATAGCCTCATCAAACGACGCAAGCCCCCTTGCCACGTCAAGGCAGTGATCCATGAGAGAGAGCTAGAGAATTAGGAAGCCTTGAAAAGTAAAATATAATGAAACATCGAAATCTTGTCTTACTCTGACAGCAAACGCCATCTACTGCAAGAGAATCTACAGGCATTCCACTGATGGCCTCTTCTGAGTGAAACTTGTCCACAGGTACCTCTTCTGGCTCATCCACTGCCAGTTCAGCCTCTAGAAATAAGGTAAGAAATTGGTATGATGACCCATCCTTCTCTACCCTCATCCAATTCATTCCATTTGCCACCCCTCTCTTTTTAATTTTACTGCTGCACAAAGAGAAACAAAGTGTGGCCACTCCATTCATTCCTTCTCTTACCATCCTCCTGGGAGTCGTCTGCTTTTCCTTTGCTGCCACTATCAATGCCTGAGCTTCCACAGCTGACAGTTGAGCTACAGGACTTCTCCTTCGGATGAACCTGATCCATAATGAAGGGTTCATCCACAGACATTTCCACAGACATCCGATGCCTCGAGTCGGCCTCAATGCCCGATGTGTGTGAACTGCTATGGCTGTCTGTTGACTGCCGAGACAGACGATGGTTCCTTTCACTTCCTCTGCTGCTTCCGCTGTCATGTGAACGCTTGTCTGACGGATCGAGATCCATCTCCAATGTGTCACTGATGTAAGATTCTCTATAACGTTTTTTCTCTAGAAAAAGTGGGAAAGGGAAAAATTAATATTCCCTTATTTTAGGGGGTAGTTAAGCAATTTAAATTACAGGGGGCTCTTCCGCATTCTCATTTTTGTTACTTGTTTGTCACTATTGCTTTGGGTCCCCCCCTCCCCTTTTCCACATGTGTTTTGCTCTCTCTCCCTATTAGAGAGAGAAAAACACATTTTTTTTGTGTGTGGGGGGAACGTGAAGCCATAGGAACACACAAGTGATGAAAATCAGAATGAAGAAGGGCCCAGGGTTACAACAGACAAAATCTATCCAGTTTCCCTGAAAAACTGGAGAGGAGGACCAAGAGCTATTAACAGATGGGGGTTTGAGGGTTTTTTTTATCGTTTTCTTAAGCAGATCGAGGCCTCCTAGCCACCCTCTTGCTCCTAACGTAACCCTACATCTTCTTAATATTCCACTACTCCTTGCTATATTTCAAGTTTTCAAAATATTAATGCAGAAGACCGTATAAAAACTTAATGCATTTATTGAAAAAAAAACCCACCACAATGTGAATTCATTTCTACTGGTTTGTATCATTTCTTTTGAGTGCAAAATTTTTAAGTTTCTTGGCTGTTTTTTCATGGTATATCAATGCTCATTATTTTTGATGTCTCTTATTTATTAGAGCTGTAACGTAGCAAAGGGTAGTACTAATGGAAGCATTGGTCATCATCACTTACATACCCCCGAAACATCCCTAATCATTCAACATACCTAATCATTCCTGAATCTGGTATTCTACTGGCTAGAGAACATGCCAGGAATTACAGATGTTTCAAGTATAACCAAGGGCCCGTTCAAATCCTACAGCTCCCATGCAAAGTTAACTGCTTCCACATGGTGGCACTCCATCAACCAAATAGTACCTGTTGGCCATAAAAATACATTGCAGAATGACCAACTAACAAACAGAAAGGTGGTCAGGATAAACAGCTCAGTTAAAAGTCTTGGCAAATAAAATATCTTAACCTGGCAAGTAAAAGCCAAAGAAGCAGGCGGCTGGCAGACCTACGGGCGGGTGGCTTCCCTGGCTGTTTTCAACTGGGTCCATTTGTTCTTTTTAACAATACAATTCTGTGAGTAGTTAAAATGTAACAATTTTAATATTTTTAAAGCCTGATTTATAACAGCTGAAAATTGGAAAGGGAGAATATAAAAATAAATACATGGCATGCTTAATTGGGCCCCTTCACACAAGGGCACAATCTCTCACTCAAGGTATGGCTTGAAGGAGAAGAACCACCTCTAGCCACAACCAGTGTTCCCTCTAAGCTGAGTTAGTGTGAGCTAGCTCACAGTTTTTTAGCCTTCGGCTCACACATTTTTGTCTTATCTCAGGAAGGATGGCTCCAGAGCAAACTAATTTATGCAGTAGCTCAATCGCTCGCTCACAACTTTATTGCCAGTAGCTCACAAAGTGGAATTTTTGCTCACAGGACTCCACAGCTTAGAGGGAGCATTGGCCGCAACCTTTACTTTCTAAAGCAGAGCTGCCTCTTATTTAGGGCAGGCTCAGAGATGACCGTGCACTCCCCTCCTGTCTCTTTGCCCACATGCGTTGATTCCCTCCTCCCTTTCCCTGGCAAGGCACAGTTTGATGTTACATATGGACAAACTGCAGTTTGCTTGGAAACCAGAACTGAAGCCCAGGATTTGACTCTAGTTTGGAAGTCTAGTTTTCAGGAAAGGCCTGTGAGCCCCATGTGTTCCTGGGATGGATGATTGCAAACATTTCCGATCTGAGATTACCCTTACTGAACCGTGGCTCAAAGCAGCTTTCTGACCTGACGCAGCTGTCTGACCTGACTTGTTAAATAAAACCGACTACTGGTTATTATGCTGACAAGTGCCGCCTTCTGCAAACACGAACCCACACTATCACATACCTTCTGCATCTTCCAGCATCTGGATCTGCTTAAGCACGGGCTGGATGTTAAGAAAGAGCCGATGGCTGTTGCTGAACAGCTGAAGCAAATGCCGAGACCGGAAGGGACAACCTGTATAGTAAATCAGTTTCCGGGCAGAAGGCAAACCATCCGGCTGGATCACAAACTTTTTCCCCTAGATTGCAAAAGGGGGAGGGGGGTTTAGGGGACATCAGAGTGAGTTATCAAGATTAAGCCTCCCTAAGATGCAAAGTATTCTCTTAACTATACAAGCAGCACAGCAAGTAGGAATGATAAGAACATGTAGAGTCATTGCTTCAGGTTGGCCGCAGGGATTAAGGCCCCCCCCCCCCAATCTGAGCATCTTCCGAAAGCAGAGCAAGACTAACACAGTTGGCACTGAGTGGATTAACCTTTTACTGTTCATATCTGTTGTTTTTTGAAAACCACGATGAGAGTCAAATAGCAGGCGAGCCCAACAGCACTGTCAAGTTCTGCAACACTCACTCACCAGAAATGCAAGTTTCCCAATATGTGACCAGGGGAAGTCATAGAGCAGCTCTCGGACATGGTTCACATCCTGTAACATTATCAAACACCCAGGAAAAACAGAGAGAAAATATTGTCAGAGGTATAACGGAGCCAAGGCAATGCAAGAACATTTCACAGATGGCATAAAAGATGGGAATACAACAGAGTTTAGGGTATGTGGCAATGGCGATAGAGAAGAAAAAGAACTTATAACTGACCCAAGGACATCCAGCAGCTGGAAGTGGAGGAGTGGGGAATCAAACCCAGTTCTCCCAGATTAGAGTCCGCGCTCTTAACCACTACACCAAACTGGCATGTGTGGCTGAGAGAGTTCTAAGAGAACTGTGACTGGCCCAAGGTCACCCAGCAGGCTTCATGTGGACAAGTGCAGAATCAAACCCTGTTCTCCATATTAAGAGTCTGCCACTCTTAATCACTACACCATGCTGGGGAGATGGGTCAAGCAGAATTATTGCTATATTGCAAATATTTTTCAACCTCTTACCTGATAAATCTGTATCCCTTTAAGGGTCAGGCCCAGGATGATAGTGGGACGATCCTCTTTCTTATCCTAGGATGTAAACAGAGGTGCAGCATGAAAAATAACTCCTTGCACACAATTAGTTGGTGGCCGCCAAGGATGCTGTTAGTAAGTGTGGCTGGGTCACCTTTCATTGAGTACATATATTGCTCAGATTTACTACTGAAACTGCACTATCCACAAGACGGTAGTAAGTGTGGCTGGGTCACCTTTCATTGGGTACATATATTGCTTAGGCTATGCCTCTTGTTGGGGAGGAAAGATCTTACCAGTCCTCACCCATACCCATGTAACCTCTCAGATTTACTACTGAAATTGCACTATCCATGAAGGCAGCTCAGAAGCTTCAGCTGGTACAGAATACTCTGCATCCTCCTGGAGGATGGAAGTACCTAGACTTCAGTTCAAGGCCGACTGTACTTGTTACAGGTCAGCTTCAGGGCCCAATGTAAAGTGTTGGTTTTAATTTTGAAAGTGATTCCTGACTGAAGACCAGTATACCCACATGATCACATCCTCCCATACGGTCTACCCCCACCCACCCCAACGCTAACAATTGAGATTTTCATTGGGTACTCTGACTAGTGAGCCATCATTGTGTGAGGTCACGTTGACCACAGTGGTGAGCATTGGGGTAGTGGAGTGGCCGCCCAGAGGAGGTTCATCAGAGCCCTTGTGACTTTAAAAGAAGATGCCTTATTCAGAAAGGCCTTTGGGAGGGGAGATCAGCTGAGCTGACTACTTAATTGCTGCTGTTACAGACACTTTAGTTGCTTGTAATTTTGTTTTTATTAACAGTAGGCATGTGATTTTAATTAAACCTGTAAGCTGCCTAGAGCGTAGGATGAGGCAGGATCGAAATATTTTAAATCAGTAATAATATAACAGACTACGCTAACAGCACACTGGAGTTCTTTAGCTGCATATCTGTTTCTTTTCTGAATGCTTTAAATATGTTCCTTTTTAATTTGCTAGAGAGCAGCTGCCAAAACATTTAGGATTGTACAGCTCCTTTTCTCTCCCGTTTCTGAACAATGGTAAACACTTTATTCCATAAAAGGATAGCCCATAGCGGAAGTACAGGTAAATTCTCCCCCCCCCGCACACACACCATTCTTGTGCCTTGTTGTACATGTGTTATAAGAATGTCTCCCAAAGATTTCTTTCAACAGTTTCCTCTGTCCAAGTAAATGACCTCATCTTCTTCAGAGGTGTGTTGACAGAGAGGGAGGCTCACACATGCCCAAGGAGGGAAGAACACCCTGGAAACCTCGTTGGCTGCATTCAGTTTTCAGTGAACTGTTAAATCAAGTTCCATAGGATTACCAAGGAATGCTGCAAGGACTACAAAGAGGAGTTCGGCAGGGGGCATGCAGCATGTAGGTCCTTGGTTGCCCACATCTGCTCTAGCCAATAACCACCCTGTGAAGAACAAACTATGGCTCTAAATTAAGGAATCACCTCGGTCTCTCATTTTTTAAAGTAGTTCCCAGTTCCTCTTTTGCCCCACCTATGCTGTTACTCCTGAAATAAGGCACTCACTTGCAAGAATTTATCAAAAGACCAGAAATGGAGCTTAGGAAACAGGTGATTTAGCCTGTGGAGAAGACAACCATTTATAATGACTTTGTAATCTTGGTTTAGAAGCTATACCTGGGATTTGTGGGGTTAAAACAATAGTGCAAAAATACTCTGTCTTTCCCTATAGCCGATAATGAATAGTGATAATAAAAAACAACCTGCTAGTATGTGCAAAAAGGAGTCTCTCATATGTGTGTGTGTATGTACACACACACACACACACACACACACACACACCAGTATTTCAAGTCAGGCAGGAATTCAAGTATTACAGCAACTGATTTCTGATTTTCATCATTCCTAGGCATAAAGCATGTCAGATCTTGCCACATGTATTTCTTCTCAATTATTCTTACAGCTGTCTTAAGAAACACTTAAGCTGTAAGAAAATACAGGAGGGGATAACCTTTCAGTACGAGGGCTCTGTATCTTGTTTAGCTCAGGGAATTCTGGCAATGGGCTTTTGGAACCCCTGCAGCCATGTGACATGATAAGCTGCACTTGTTGAAATCCTCTTTTCTACACAACAATTAAAGGAGCCTTACTTTGGAAAGGCTAAATGTCTCTGACTTTGTCAGCTGCTTTGAGGCACTGCTAGGAAGAGGGATAAAAACTGCTTATGTAACAACCAGTGTTGCCAGCAACCTGGAGAAAAAACACCACGTTGTGCCCCTTTAATAACTGTAACGCTGTCTACATGGGGCTGCCTTTGTTGCAGATTCGGAAGCTGCAGTTAGTGCAGAATGCTGCGGCCAGGCTTCTGATGGGTCTCCCTACATGGGACCACATCTGGCCTGTGCTGAAAGCGCTGCACTAGCTGTCAATAGAGTTCTGAATCTGCTTCAAAGTGCCGGTACTTACCTTTAAAGCCCTATATGGCCAGGATCCGGCATACCTGAGGGACCGCCTTTCCCCATACATACCCCAGAGAGCACTACGGTCGGGGGCCCAACATCGCCTTGTGATTCCAGGCCCCCGAGAGGCCAGGCTCGTGGCAACCAGGGCCAGGGCCTTTTTGGTGGTGGCTCCTACCTGGTGGAATGAGCTCCCCGAGGCGATCAGGGCCCTGCGGGACCTTTCACAGTTCCGCAGGGCCTCAGAGACAGAGCTCTTCTGCGAGGCTTTTAATTAGGAGCCGCCACTACCACCTCCACAAACTACCGTGAGGGACGGCCCAATATAAAACTTTTACAGTACCACGATGGGTCGGTGTCGCCGAAATGGGCTTTGGGTTAATATCCCCTGGGTTAATATTCTCAAGCCTTCATCTTGATTTGACTGAAGCAATAATACCACTGAGCACTTTATTAATGTTAATCTGATTGTTTTGTTTTGATTTTAATGTTTTAAACTGGCACTTGGTGCCCCTGTTGTGAGCCGCCCTGAGCCCGCTTGCGGGGAGGGCGGGATAAAAATGTGAGAAATAAATAAATAATAAGAAATTCAATGTATGGAAATGGGCAGTTGAAGCTTTTCATGGCACAGAGGTAAAAACATTCCTTTCAGCTTCTGTGAAAGGGCACTTATTCTCCTAGTAACAACCTGACTATAATTTTACCTTGGAGAATTTTTATTGGAGAGGCAGGCTCTACAGATATTTTAATAAATAAATACTCCAAGCACTAATTGGAATGTCTTTTTCTCTGATTTCACAGCAAATGCAACTCTAAAGGAGACTGGCAGGGGAAGACGGGTTTTGGGAGTGGAGCTGCAGCACTGGGAAAAGAATTTCATTCCCCCTCCCTTGCCCTTTTTCATGTTGAAACCACCCCCACCACTTCTGCCTTGACTGCAATTAGCCAGAGGGAAAAAAGCTTTCCCATGATTACTACGTACTTTTTAGGATCCAAAAATACATTGAGAGGTCTGATCATGGATTTCCAGTGGGATCCCTTTATTAGCCAGAGGGCAAACTGGATCAAGACATACAAAACAGATTGCTATAGCGATCACTGAAAGGTCTGATCAGAAGAATCAGCAAAACCACTAGTGCATTAATCAATTTTAATCTGTGAAATTTAAACTGAAGGGCATATTTATTTTAAAGGTTATTTTGGCCCTGACATAGAGCTGTAATCAAGAATGAAAATGTTCACAGCCTTTCCTTTGAACATGACGCAGTCCTTTTTCTGTAGTAAGTTCCAAGGTCCCTCACACTTCCTTTAATATTCCTCCACCCAACAAAAGCACCTATGAGGTATTTAGTAGTACATGTTTCTCTTAAATATCATCGATCGATCAACCAAGTATAGTTAACCTTCTGAAATCTGTAGAAGTGAACAGGCACATCTTCTAGCAGACAGGACTCCTTGACATATTTCAGAACAGCTTCTCTTGTCGTCAGGCCTTGCTGCTCCCGGTGCATCTCTGGAGCGTGCTTCAGGATATAATCGCTCCCTCGCTTTGCAATTATCTGCCACCAGGGAAAGAAACAACGTCAGCAGCTTCCTCAGCTTCCGTACGACAGTCCCACAAGGGAAGACAGCTGGGATCCATTGCGTGTGAGAGAGAGTTCGGACAAGGGTAACTTACTCCCAAACCCACAGAAACCTTTCAGGCTAACTTCAAATGGTGTATGAGGTGAGCATAAACACTGCCTAAAGGCTCCCCAGAAGAAGAGCCGATGGTTTAATTTGCCAGCTGAATAGCAGAAACTTTAAACATGCTTGTCTTTACATACAAGAGGGAAAAAAACATTTAAAAATCATTACTGAAGGAATCATTCACAGCTTATAGCAATTTTATTCCCAGCTATGATCCTTGACTAAGATTTGATGTGGAATGTGAGGATTTCAGCAGTTGTTGCTTCTCCCATCCCACAGCAGAAGAGAAACAGAATGTGATTAACTTCTTTCTACAAAAGGACACACAAGTGCAATGCTCCATATGAAATGCATTCCCCAACCTTCTATTTCCTATCAAAGCCTCAAATGCTGCCACTTAACCCAAATGACTACGGAAATGTGACCAAGAGTAAAAAAAACCCCCCAATTCGGTCAGCCAGTATAGATCAATATTGCAATACAGACAATGGAACTAGGCACAAATGACTTCCCAGTTATATTGATTACATTCGTATCCTGGCCTTTCTTCTGTAATGGAACTCAAGTCTGTTCCCACTACGTTCCCCACCCAGGCACTACCCAGGCTGAGAACCTGCTTGACTTCAGCCAGGGGCCCTGTTGTATCATGTGCCTGCTCCAACCACAGTCTGGAGGCTACGAAGGCAGAGCTTTAGTGCCTGTAAGAACTGTGAACTGGGTGAGATTTCGGTGCAGGGTTGCCAACCTCCAGGTAGAGCCTGGAGATCTCCTGGTATGACTGTTGATCTCCAGATGACAGCGATCCGTTCCCCTGGAGAAAATGGCTGCTTTAGATGGCAGACTATGGCATTATGCCCTGCTGAGCTCCTTCTCCTGCCCAAATCCCTCCCGTCCCTAGGCTTTGATCCCAAGATCTCCAGGGATTTCCCAACTCAGGGTTGGCAAGCCTATTCCAGTTAGGTGGGAAGTTGAACTGTAACCGTCAAAGGCCAGCCATGGGCAGCTCTATGCAAATTAATAAAAAGAATGGCAACATGCAAAGCACGGTGATGTCACCATTCCTCGCCCCTGCTTCTAGAAGTCAGGAGCCCCTGGAAGGGGAGTGGGCAGAGCCAGCAGGGCCCAGAGAGGTCTGGGAAGGGGCTCCCTGCAGTGGCTTGTAGCAGAGGACA